CAGATTGACCTGGTTAGAGACTACAAATGTTTCCTAAATTTTCGTTGGGCAACACATCTGGATTAGTTTTGTCTTCCAAGGCAGCTGGTTTTCCTTCAATCAAACATAAACAGTAGCAAAATCACTTTCTTGTACAAATACTTACCAGTTATGAAATGTCCTCAGCAAATACGATCATTTCTCACATAGATTTCACTTAGAGGCACCCGTTTTAAAGCCTTAACACAAGCATTTCGACGTTCACTAGCAAAGCATTCAGATGATCTCTCTATTTGTCTCGCTAAATCGAAAAAAATAAACCGTGTCTCGTTCAACACGCATTGATGTGGCATTTTGAACCAATTGTATAAGTAATACAAGATTTAATACGTAGTTAAACGTAATGTTTACATATGTAAACAAGTAGTCAATTGGAAATAGGTGAAACTGGGTTATGTTTATAATGAAATAACCTGCAAGCGGTCGTCAGAAATGTCAACTGCCAGTTTAACGTAGAAAATAAAACGTGCAGTATCGGGGCACAAATACTACAGAACAGTATTTTAATTTTGCAGTACTTATTTTTTAGACTGATTTGCGCAGACGTTTGTGTCAAAATATCAAAATAGCGCAAACTATAATACTGCATGAACGTATAGGCCGACCAATAACCTGCAATAACTCTCTATTGTTTTTTTATTGTTATCATAACCACAAATTGACGTGTACACAAATAAACATACATTTCTGTCTTTAACTGCAAAAATTTCAAAGTTAGTGCTTGTGTAATGGCCTTATTGTGCACTCTTTTGAACTTATTTGGTGTCAGTTGTTGTGCAATGCTCTGACTGCGCCGGAAAGGCTCTGCTCTCCAATACGTGTTGCTCTGTGTATGGAACCTGAACATCTATTGTCGTCCACAAGTCGTTGTTCCCTTTGTTGGCGTACGTAAGTTCTTACAGCTTCTGCTATTTTAATGTGGCATTCCCCCGTAACTAATAAATTATCCGCATGTAGAATAAGACTCTCAATATAAAAATTTTTGGTAATTCGAAGCAATTGCCCACACATGAATAAACTATAAATAAAAGATTAATATAGGTGTGTTTCATATAAACACTTTTAATACAACCCTAACATATACATAGTTATTAATGACAAGGGTAATCCATCGACAGAGAAAAGATAAGGCCAGGTATTTAAATACATAAGATATACCTGCGTATAAACGTTAAAGTCAATGATAAAATTCACCATAAACCGGAAGAATAGCCGCCTGGTGGCACTCTTGGGCTGTTCAGTCTTTTAATCTTTTCCTTTTCTTGGATCTCCTCCTGGCTGAGAATATCTCCAATCGTTGAACAGGACGAGTACTTCTCAACTCTTTTCGCGCTGGACTCGTTTAAGATTATGGTGCTATTGGCGCCAGAAGGGTCAGTGCCGACTGCACCAATTGTGCTTTCTTCACTTTTATCGTCATTATGATCGGTTGAAGAGTTCCTTTGTTCCGTAGTAACTACTGTGGTAATGCTCGCTTCTGACCGCAGTACGTCCTGAATGCTGCTTCCCCTATACTGACTCGTTTCGATCCCTGAAGAAGTCGGTGGGGCCACCAAGTCCGAAATGAGGCTCCTTTCATCTTCATTACCGAATATGTTCGAAGTGCCCCCGCCTGGTGGCTTCAGAACACGGCTGCTGTTGCGTTGGTCATGGAAGCCTACGTAGATGTGTGTCATGATGCTTCCTGAAAAAAATTATGGATTATTTACCTATGTGATTGTGCACATTTTGTCTAGTAACGCGGCTCATCAATTGTCTGAATGGAAAAACACAAGGCGACCTAAAGTGCAACTCCGGTACTACTTAATACCGGTTTCGAATAATCCTTCCATAGACACTAATGCAACGCCGGTTTGAAATCTAAAAATAGTCCCTTGAACTATCACCAAAATAAAGTTGGTTCTTAAAATAAAATGTCTTCTTCACATAGTTCTTAAAATAAAATTCATGGAAATAAATATTATTGATCGGTTTAGCTACATTAACCAATTAATACGAGTATAGCGAAAGCAAGTTACTTACCCTGTTCGTTGTATTCGCTAAATAATGGACCGCACACAAAGGAAAATGCACCTAAATTATTCTCTGTTCTCTGCAGCACTCCTCAGAATACTGACATCGTTAAACTGAAGACCGTCGCCGAGCCAGCTTAGTCTGGCTGCACTTGGGAGTCTTAGCCGTAGCATAAAGCATTCACAGTAAACCCACTTACTTCAGAAAATAGCCTATTTGAAGGCGAAACCCACATGTACATATGTGACTATAGGACTGCACCATGATGAAGTAGATACATTTAAAATTATGCCTGTCGCAGAATTAGTACTTACCGTGAATGGTGAATAGTAAGGCCCACTACCTACTTCTAGTTTGATTATTTTTTGCGATAACAGCTTTTAGAGTCGGATGGGTATCTTATTTAATTTCATATAAATTCATTTTGCATTTTTTCTTCAAAGAAAAAGTTTCCACTTGCAATAAGCTCTCACTGCGTGGCCACAACCTTGACCTCGCAACAATAATTTACGAATTTGAAGGGTTTATGCCAAATATAGACTGCTGCACACATTTGGAAACAGCCTTGTGACCATTAAACCACTTCATCCTACGCCGGAATACGCCTTATTTGGAAAAATCTATCCTGAAAGCGGCCTCGCGGCCGAAAAGGAACATGCACATATTTATCAGAGTAGTGTGTGGGTTTTACAACACAATGGCGCTTCGTCCACCCTGTCTATGTTACACAAGAAATGTATTAATTTATGATGACCTGTAATGGTAAAGCATGCCAAACGGTGCTACAAAGTACATACAGGGTGCCCAGCTGTAAAATTTTCCCTATAATAGTCTTATTTATTATTTATTTTCAGAAAGCTAGCTACTGCATCGTGAATTAACACGCGTCTTTTTCAACGTAACTATAGACTGTAGAGTTCAATTAGATATCCATTTTTACTGAAAAATGTATCTAGATATAGTCACACTAGCAAGAATGTGTTCCGTATGATTCTCTTAAAAGATGATGAAAAATGGAAATATAAATCTGGTTACAACTTGCATTTTCTAAGATCACTACGACTAGTTTAATACTGTAGATTTACCAAAAAAACGTCAAGTTTCAGTTATGAAGATGCTATAATTTTATCTCGGTATTAAATGCGGATTATAATACAACAGATTTCTTCTCTATCGGGGGCAGAATTACTTCATTAGCTGCTTTTGGCATCTGCTCCTTCTCAGCGTATACATAGGTTTGGAAAAATTATTAGTTTGGCTTCCCAGAGATATAAGATAATACATCCATTGGTGTCACGATCGAGACCGGTTTATCTACTCCCGAATCACCTACAGATTGACATAAAACATGAGAGACGACATAAAAATCCTCCACCAGATCCCATTTTACCTTCGGCTTTCTTAAGCAATATCACATAGGGTTCTTTTTCCAATACGCTGCAAATCAGGCCCAAAAAGGCACTGTCGTACAGCTTGGGGTACACTCTAACAATATGGCTTTCCAACGTACTATTTGCTGGTAATCTTTTGGTCATCATAGCTGTCATTAGCTTTTGTAGAGTAACCATTCCAATAATGCTCCTAAACATAAAATACTTCCAATGCAATTGCTGTAATACAACGAAACGCAACAATCGGCTAATCACCGGTTAGAAATTTGGTGTTAGTTGGTGGATGCTCGCATGCGATTTAGAAATTATATCGGCTTGGTTTGGGACGGTTTATACATACAGGGTGATTCAAAATTGGCGTCATTCCTATGGAGGTGTTGTCTGGCGCTGTTATAGGAGTACAGAAAAAATAGTAAAAGAAATTAATTGTTATTAAAAACTGAGAAATTTGCAAAAAACTATATCAGAGATACGGCAGCAATGTTTTTCAAGGTAATCTGCCTAATTAACATTGCGCAAATACCTGCTGATCCGTAATTATTTAAAACTCCGGTAACCATGGAATTATACAGACTGACAATAAGATAGACAAGGATAAACGGTAAATTCAACAAGATTTGTTGACGAAATGTCAACCTGTTCTCATAACCTCGAATATGGGTGTTTATAATAAACCGTACACTCCATACAAGCTAGTGCCTATGTAATCTCCTTATTATCTACTCTTGTCAAGCAGCTTCTCGTATTCAATTAATTAACTCCTGTTCTATTTGTATCTCCTTGTGCTGGTGTGTATCGTACAAACGTGGTAGGAACGTAGCCCTTCCTCGGTATTTATTTGGTGCTTCGGAAAGTGTCAGTTATTGTGCTCTGAGTGCCCCTGGAAGGCCCTGATTCGATTATGTCTAATACTTGTTCCTCTGTGCTTGGAACCCGAACATCTATCGTCCACTATCTTCCTGGAACCACTCTCCTGGCCCTCTGTTGGCTTGAGTTCTTTCAGGTTCTGCTATCTTACTGTAGCATTTCCCCTGAACTAATCGCATATCCGCAAATTCGTGAAAGGAAATTCAAAGTAAGTCACAGTTTGACAAATTATTGTTATTATTGACAAGGGCTATCCACCTGTAACTATCTGTTAATGACAAAAAACATCATTGCCGCTGTTTTCATCAAAAAATTGTAGAAGAGAACTTTTTTGATATCAAAAAGTTTCGTAATTTGAAGCAAAGATCGTAATTTCTCTTTTTGAATGCTTAAGTATTCCAATATGCTACCAATTAAACATGGAACAATTTCAAAATAATTCTTAATAACAAAGTTGAAATTCGATCTTCAACTGTTAATATCTTCTAGAAATTTTCGAAATTTTTTTTAAAATATTTTCTCGTACTCTTCCAGGGAGCCTCTATCACCCCTTATGACGCCAATTTTGAATCACCCTGTATAATGCATAAAATTATGGTTAGAAATGTGGATAACTGTGAGACGATTTTTTTTATTATAGTCGGTGGTTGCTATGGGATCGCATCCTAACCACGTCGCTTACCCGTCATTATCCACCACAGGAATTTGATCCACTGACAGTTGCCTCATGAGCTGTACCGCCTTGTCAGCTGTCATTGACGAAGTAGCCACCTGAAGGGTGGGCAGTTTGAGGTCGGCAATTGTCTTGTACCACCACCTTCAATCAATGTAAGTTACGACCCTTCGGTTATCTATCATAAAAGAGGAAATTATAGTAATATATTCAGGTTACTGACCAGTGATTATGAGTATTTTCGCAAGGCATGTACCCGCGAGCCTGCATCCACTCGTCGGAAACGAACTTCGTCATATAATTACGAATGCTATCGGGGAGAATAACTACCACATTTTGACCCTGTTCTAGGTCTTTGGCGGCTTCGAGTGCTGCCACCACATTGGCTCCGCTTGATGAGCCTGAAATATCCAGCTGTCTACAATGGCAATGAATGAAAAAATTGGAGCCTCACCGCAAAGCAAACCCTCTTCTTTAATAAGCCGGCGCGCCATGGGGAGCGATTTGGAATCGTGCGTTTTCACCCATATATCCACCACAGATCTATCCAGAATGGTAGGCAGGAAATCGTAACCTATCCGTAAAGTGAGGAAAGTAAATCGATGGAAAAAATTAATTTCAGAGTCTTGCCTATGCCCTCTACTTCGTAGAAAGTTACGTCTGTTTTGTTCAGATCGTCGGGCAACGCCAATACGGAGCCCTCGGGATCGGCAGCCACAATTTTCGTTTGGGGAGAAATTTCTTTAAATTTCCGTCCAATGCCGCAAACAGTGCCACCCGTTCCGGCGCCGATCACCTGCAAGACAATCAAGCATGATCAACTACCGTAGAATAGGTACGAGTTCCTCTTACAATCATAGCCACTTGCTGATCGCATTGATCGAAAATTTCTTCTGCGGTGGTGTCGTAGTGCGCCAAAGGATTACCCGGATTGGAGTACTGAAAATGCCCCTTAGATTGGTACGTATTGGTTTTAGAACCACAATCAGTACCTGATCCAGAATAACGGAGTTGGGAATCGTCTTGTGCAGTTCATGCGTAACACCGAACATGCCGCCAGGTGCGAACGAATCTAAATTGACGGGGGTACGCACTATTTCAGCTCCGAGAGCCCGAAGAGTGGACACCTTCTCGTTGGACATTTTCTCGGACATGACAACGATGCACCGATAACCTGAAGACAGCGATTGCTCAGAGAATGTATACGTGAGACAGCTACGGCTCTCGAAAATCTACCTTTCACGGCTGCGGCCAGCGCCAAGCCAATGCCGGTGTTTCCAGAGGTCGGTTCAATGATGGTATAGCCAGGCTTCAAGAGGCCTTGGCGCTCTGCGTCTTCGACCATCCTGAACCCAATGCGGTCCTTTACCGAACCACCTGGGTTGAAGTACTCGCACTTAACATCTGCAAATTGTAAACCACAAAACTTTTGTAGTCGGCGAATTTATTCGACTATTGAACCACTTACAAATATTGGCTTTAATTCCTGCACTTTGTGGAATTTTGTTCAGTTTGACCATGGGTGTGTTTCCTATAGAATGCAGAATGTTGGGCAACAGCTTGCTTTCGCGCCTCCTGTAAAAACAATATCTGCATGTTAACAGGACTTAGCTTGAGCAGGTCACTTGGTTTTTGGTTAAAAACACAGCCGTGCTGCCTTACCAATCTTCAGTGTTATGAGGGTTGATTTGATCGTTATTACCCGGTCGGTTCCACGTGCATTTTGATTTGTAACTTGGTGGAGCAACAATATCACTCAAGGGAGAATGAAACGTCGGAATGCCCCCGACTTTGGTTCTCTTCGGACAGGAGATTGTCCCATTGGCTTCTGAAGTGGTACTCATGTTTGCGGTGTAATTTCTGACTGACCTCACTATCACTAACTCTCTGTGCTATCAATGGTGGTCAGTATCTAATACGATCACAAAAGTTCAACTATAAATACTTGTTTCTGATTTATGTTTCCCAAGTTGTATGTTTCGCACACGCATCTAAAGATACAGAGGTTAGAAAATTTGTTATCGTTGGCAAAACGTGCTAAACACAATCTCGGACTGTGACATCACAGATAACAGAGTAACCTCTGTGATCTGTGTATGACATATCTGTGTATGACCTAGCAGTTGACAATCGGAGTTACTAGAGAGTTATTGGATTGGACATGCTAAATACTGTCATGCAGTAATAATGTTATTCCTTATTTTAATACTGCATTTGCGTTATTTCTGTAACGAAATGATAGTTATTGGAATGTCTAGTTCACTGCTTTCAGTATTAAACATGTGTTATTGTGTAACCTGACCTTACACAATTTATTATTAATCATTTTACGTTGGTGTATTTGTATTTTTTACTTTTCAATTGGATTTTGGTTGCTGTTGCTCATTTACGCTTAATTGTTATAATGAAGAAAATTCTAGAAGCCGCACTCATAAACGGAGCAAGTGAAAAAGAGCTAGAATATTACATTTTTGATAATACTTATATTTATAAACAGGGGTGGTTATCAGGCGGAGGAAAGAGAATATTTTTATTTAGAACAAATGTCCGATGAGTATAACTATGTCTTGAAGTGCATACTATTGAAGGCTTAGTGGAGATACGAGGAACAGATACGATAAACAAAGTTTTTGACCCTTGTTTGGTCATTACGGCGTGATATTTACAAGTTCCCCAACATCACGACGTATTTGGTGAATTACTTAATTAAAAGCCGTAGTTTTTACATTGGATTACAGCTCAAGGCTTATAAAGATTTGCAAGTTTGCAAGTATGCTGAGTCTGGCACGGTTCAAGAGATATCAGCTACACACGTTAGGGATAAAGCAATTATTTTTAACATAATTCTCATTTACATCCATCACTTGAACTTTTGCTTACAAGGTGTACATTATTGAACTGCAAAAATCTAAATTCTGAAAAACACGACTTGAATATTCTTCAGTTAGGTACATCAGTTTGAATTGACTCACTAACACAGCTTTCATAAATCTGCTTTGCTCAAATTTCTTCAATAAATTGTGAAACCATCAAATTCTTGTGCACCATACAGAAACAACTTCAGCTTGGACCTAAAAACAGCAGCTTAAAAACATTATGCCTTTTAATGTAATAACAACCAACCTCTGGCTTCAAAAACCTTTTAAATAGGGAGTAGGCAGGCAGATTGACCTGGTTAGAGACTACAAATGTTTCCTAAATTTTCGTTGGGCAACACATCTGGATTAGTTTTGTCTTCCAAGGCAGCTGGATTTCCTTCAATCAAACATAAACAGTAGCAAAATCACTTTTTTGTACAAATACTTACCAGTTATGAAATGTCCTCAGCAAATACGATCATTTCTCATATAGATTTCACTTAAAGGCACCAGTTTTAAAGCCTTAACACAAGCATTTCGACGTTCACTAGCAAAGCATTCAGATGATCTCTCTCCTCTATTTGTCTCGCTAAGCGGACGTCAGAAATGTCAACTGCCAGTTTAACGTAGAAAATAAAACGTGCAGTATCGGGGCACAAATACTACAGAACAGTACTTATTTTTTAGACTGATTTGCGCAGGCGTTTGTGTCAAAATAGCGCAAACTATAATACTGTATGAACGTATTGGCCGACCAATAACTCTCTATTGTTTTTCTGCAATATGTTAACAGATGAGTTTAAGGGGGCGCAGCGCTATGGACTTTGTCGCTTAACCCGCTCTGTTTCGGTCATAGATGAAGACAGGAAGCGAAATCTTCATGTGCCAGCAAAATTTCGCCAATAAAAAACAACTACAACTTAAAAAAAAATAGCGTAACGTTAAACTCTTGCCCTTGCTGCTGCCGTGGTACAAAGTGAAATTTGTGTCATAAATAAAACGAGCCCAGTTAGTATCACATTTATATAAATAAATAAATTCCAAATGCACCAATGAGAGAGAATACAATGCGAAACTGAATCGGTAATTCTATTGTTGTAATTTACGCAATAAATCTAAAAATAAAAAAACAAAAAAATTGCAGCTCTTTCAGAATCGGTCCTTGAATACCAGATAAAAAATGGGCAAACCGGGCCAAGTCGCAAAAACCAAACTCACGAAGATCGGTAGGAAAGACCACACCAGACCCAGAGATGGTATGAGAGTCCCTTAGGAGGCTAAACGCAAGGATCTAAACAAAACTAGGCCCCATCACAGAGAAAGTGAACTCCATTTTCCCTATGGGTCCTATTATAAGATCATTGCTGCTTGGAGAGTCTATTTTGCAATGTATTGTAACGCACTTTTACGTAAAAGTAGTCCACTTTTTCTAAACAGCTCAAAAGTGCTTTTTGCTCCTTTTCCTCGGTCGGTAAGGAGGCCTTTTCAGCAATATTAACTGCCAGAAAGCAATTCAGCTCTGTGGGTTCAATTTGTAAAAGCTGCAAAGCCACTTGACAAAGCCCAAAAACTCGCGACTCTTGGAATAGAAAAGTCAAGCCGTCAAGAAGCAAGTGATTTATGTAGGTGCCATAAAGATTGATCATCCCGTGCAGTATACCATGCAGCTTGTTGGCAAATTCTTCGATACGGGGACACTCCATGTAGATGAGCATCAAATCTAGTCCTAGATTTTCGGCAAAACACTCCTCATAGCTAAATAGCCGTTTCCAATGGTCTCTAAACAAATTGAGGAAAGTTATGGATCGATTTGGAAACATTTTGTAAGCTCGTGCAAAAAAGCTAAAAATGTTGCCCTGCTCATTGTAGTTGTTTGAATTCCAGTGCAGCTCTTTATGCGTCGAAATCTTGCTAAACACTTCAATGAAATGGGCTGGCTTTTGGTATACTGACAAGTACATACAGACAAAAGTATTTATACCATCGAAGCTAATTTCAGACAGAAAATATTTTCCAATCACTTGACCACAAAAAGGTTCTGGAAATTTCAAAAACATATCGTCACTAAAACGACCGATTTGCAGACTCCAATTCGGTCCAAAACGTTTGGCATTCACTGCGTCTTGTTCAATAGTTGTCCAGAATTTCATCATCAAGGCGGGTTGGAACTGTTTGGGCAGCTTGGACGATGATCGGATTAATATATCGATCAGTTCCGTGTCCTTCATATTGATATGTTCTAAACAGGCAAGCAACATGTTCAAAGTGGGCAACGTAGGGTTTTTTATACAGTATTGAAACAATCCTTTAGTGACATACTTTCGAACCAATTCGTCCTTGCTGAACCCTTGGAGCACCTGCATCGCGGTGCTGTGATTGGCCAATGCAAAGCCAAAATACGCGGCGTGTTTTCTAACAGAAACAGCTTTTCTCATTAGTAGTTTGATGATGTCGGTTGCTTGCTTTTCACTGACCCGATACAGAACCTTGTAAAGTAAAGGGCGACTTACTTGAAAATAATCTCCTTGACAAAAATGTTCCAACAGGGGCACTAAAGGCACAACGTCTTCAAGATTTTTTAAATATTTTGCGACATCGCGCTGGGTCGAGTAAAGCTGATTTTGATTTTCGTCACAAATGTCCAGTTTCGCCTTTGTCGGAACATACTCGGCGATTAAGGGTAGAAAATCGTTGGTACTCATAACTTGAGACAATGCCTTGATAACAGTTGATTTATAATCCAATTTAATGCTCGCTGACACTAGAGGCGAGAAAGCTTCGACTAGTTCAGAGTCCAGCCCCAGATGGTTATACAGCTTAAATAGGGAATAGTCATCGAACTCACGGCAGCCCCTGCCGTCTTCGATAATTTGATGGAAGTACTTGGCAATCACGCGAGGTTCTTTCTCCAAAAAGTGCCGAATCGCCCTCGGCCGCTCAGACATGCTTTCGTACATAGAGTAGTTGTAAACAGGGCGTTTGAAGAAAAAATCTAGTAAGTTTTCCTGTACAGCGGAATTCCTTGGCTGGGTGATGGCTTCTCTCAGCACATCATCATTCCACTCCGTGGAACACTGACTCTGAATCGTAGTTAACATCTGATCATTCGTACCAATCTGCAATTAAAAATATTAAATTGCGCCTTTTAAATTGCCAGGCCATTTCCTGATAAGTATCACATTTTTCACAGTGCGCAACTAAGACGAAAAGAGGAAACCCAGATAGCATTTGATATTCTATGAATATCCCAGAATGTTCAAAAAATATACAGAACATTGCGGGAATATCCTGGGAATATACATAGGTGAACAT